TACATGATGGAAGTATAGTTGTTGACAACGTCATTGAAATTTTTAACGCGGCAGACTTCTTTCTATTGGAAAAGCTTCGAAAGCTCGCTTTTGAATCCCTAAAACGATTATGCAACGAAGATGGAAACGAAAGCAAATCTCCCGAGTTACTATCTAGGATGGCTAAACTAACAGTGCCTTTGGATGATGGTACAATTGCCGATTGCATTATTAACTCTATGACCAAAATTTCGTTTGATACCCTCGGATTTGGTAGATTATCGCTTGAAGGGTTACACCACTTTCTGTCAAAAAGCTGTGAAAAAAGCATGCAATTTGTCTCCAGCGAATATTCTATTTTAAGATTCGCAATCTTAACGGCCGCGTCAACTATATCACACGAAGCATTCCTTGCTCTCGAGAAAAGATTACCAACATGGGAGAAGGTCAACGGATACAGTAATAACATTTTAACAAACAAAAAAATTAGTGAATCCGTAACAAATATCTTAGGTTCACTTTTCGAGTATATTGACTTTAGAAGGATTGATGCAAAAATACTTGAGAAAATTATCGAACCATTGCATATTGTTCCTTCCTCAAATATTGTTGATTCCTATCGGCTCCAGGCCTGCGAAAAAACTTCTTTTTCGGCTTTTCGTGGACTTCTTAATTTCAAATGGGACAAAAATAGTTGTAGTCCGACATTAAACATCAGCAATGACGGATATACGGTTACCGCGTCCCAAAGGACCAAAGAATATCAATGTGTCAGAACAAATATTCCGATGAGTAGTGGCATTCATGAACTTTGTATTTTGATCGAAAGAACATGCAACTACTCTTGGATTGGAATCTGTGGAGATGCGTTTGATCCTTCGAAAAATGCAAAACACCAGCGAAACGCGTGGGTTCTATGCACATCAGGAGAACTTTATCACAACAATGAACATACAAAGGTGACACAAAATTTCGATAGAGACAATACTAAAATAGTTGTACAAATAGACATTAAAAAAAGTACACTTACATTCACCATTAATGAAAAAAGATGCTCGACAAGTATCAAGGAATCACTCCCTTCAAAACTTTATTTTTATACATCACTGCGATATCCGGGAATAGTTAAAATTTTACCACGAGGTTCGAATAAATAATCCCATTTCATTTCTTACCAAAATTTTTTTAATCTAATATTATTCTAGTCTTTTTAATAAAATTAACTTTTAGATGTTAACTTTTCGATTATAGATATAAAATTGTGTCGGTACATTATACATATTTAGGGAAATAGGCGTGTTATGAGGATGTGATATTTGGTTAAATGTGTCAATTGGACAAGTATTTATACTGTATAACGGTTTTTATATTTGGAGGTAGATGTTTTATTACGTGCTTGCCGACAATCTTTTATATTTTGCTCGATACCTATATAATAATTCATAATAAAATTAAAAAAAATAATAAAATTAAAAAAATACAAAAAATATATACTGTATATACTGTAAATTAATTATAACACCAAGATTACTGATTTTTATTGATATTATCCAAAAATAATTTTTCTCTATATATTGTCATTTTTCTAACATATAATACATATATGGCTAAAAAAGAAAAAAAACTTGAAATTAACAATTAAAAATATATATACTATATACAAATATTGTATTTTCGAAATTCAAGACAATATGTAAAAGCTATAAAATAAGGGATTGATTCATAAAACTAATATTTTTATCTATTATACTAAAATATCAAAAAAGATATTCTTGAGATTTTTATATAAATTTAAATAAATATATAATTACGGTAGCTCACAAAAATAACCGATCACTAAAATAAATAATGTTAAATATAAATAAGTTAAATAATAATTTATAAA